GCAGGTAGGCTGTCAGCCGCCTAGTCTGCGCGTGCGCGGGGCCGAGCGGCGCGAGAGCGCGTGCGCGGGGCCGGGGAGGGGGGCGAGGGCGCGTGCGCCGGGTCCAGTGGGGCGGGGCACAGTGGAGCGGGTCCTCTGCGCCGGGCTTTGCGGTGCTACCTCTCTGGTAGATGCGGGTCTGTGGTGCGAGGGAAATACTTTTTGCTTGGTATGAACACGTGGGATTTGGTTAAAGAACCACCCGCGTTGCACTGTCCATGGGGAGAGCAAGGGAAGTGGAGAGACTGCTACTTAGTAGAAGGACTGCCCCTCCCCGTCGAGGTCGCGTTTAGAGTGAGGCTTGGGACTCTTCGTGAGTTTCAGTGAAGCAGAAGTTTGCGTGTCTTACCGTGACCGGAGTGCCCATGAGGTACAGAGCGCCCTAATGAACCGTATGGAGGAATACAAGGATGTATTGATACGGATGATTTCCCTCATCCTTAGAAAAGTGCTTTTTTGCAAACTCTGTTTTCCCTGTCCCGAAGTGAGTTTGGTCTTACCTCATGGGGTTGTTAATGAGAATTCAGTGAAATCATGGTCGTAAAGCTCTGGGCACAGCGCCTGACACAGACTTCACCGCATCTGGGCAGTCTGGAGTCCGCAGTTCCAGCAAGGAATTTTCAGCAGAAGAGTGGCTCAGTTAGATGAATGTTTTTCTTAGCTCCTGCATTGTATTTAAAGCAATAAGAGAGCAAGGATGGAGTGTGTTACTTTGTGCTCTCCAGCATATGGTCTGGCATGCTTCACCCAGAACTATGTTCTAGAGATTTTAACTGTCTGCGGCTTTCAACATTCGTAATTGTTAGTGCTTTCCACCTCACCCCCCTTTAGAATACTTTACCGAAGTATGCTTTGCGTACAGTAAAATGCTCAAACCTTAATATAGATCAATGACTTTTCATATATATATCTACCTATGTGGGTGGCCACCACCCAGATCAAGACAGCATTTCCAAGAGCTCTAGAAATCCCTGGTGACCCTTTCCAGCCAGTACTCTCTCCCCTCCCTGCCGGAGGTAAACACTACTCTGACATCTCTCACCATAGATTGATTTTGCGTTTTTGAACATATGTAAATGGAATCATACACAGCATATTCTTTTGTCTGTTTGGATTTCCCTGTGAGACAATGTTTTTGAGAGTTATTCATTCCTTCATGTTATTACCTGTATCAGTACATCTGGTACACTGTAAATATACCAAAACTAATGGACACTTGAGTTATTTTACAGTTTTTGCCCTTATGCATAAGCTGCTCGGAACATTCCTATACAAGTCTGTGTATAATATGCTTTCATTTCTCTTGGGTAAATGGATAGTAGGGGAATTGCTGTATTATAAGGTAGACACACACTTAACTCAGAAATTGTTGAACAGTATTTCCCAAAGTAGTTGCACTGTTAGTCATTCTCAGCAACAAAGTTTGAGAGTTCCTGTTTCTCTACATCCTCAACAATACTTGGCATCATCTGTCTTTAATTTTAGCCATTCTGATGACTGTGTAGTGGTACTTTGTTATTTTAATATTTGTGTCTCTGATTACTAATGATACCAATCATCTTTTCGTTTGTTTTTGACCGTTCTGATATCTTTTGTGAAGTGCCTTTTTTCCTCATTGGGTTGTTGTTTTTAGTTATTTATGTACAGGAGTTCCTTATATGCTCTTACTTGGAGTCCTTTGCCAGATACATTGTGAGTACCTTCTCCTGATATGTGCACAGTGCATTTTGATATCCAACTATGCCAAGGTCAAGGCACGTAGTCAGTACATTGGGAGGAACGGTTGTTTTGACCCTAAAAGTAGCACTGATCATGACTCCCACCACAGCAAGCTCAGAGAGTAGACGAATACTTTCAGGATGCTGGAAATTCCCAGCAACCCAGCTTGGCGGAGACCACAACTCTGGTGGTCTTAGAGCTCTCCCCATTGGGAAGGGCTGCCTGCGTAGGTATTCCCTGTGGGTCTTCTCCGTCTCAGCAGCCTCAGCAAACCTTCGATCTGAAAAGAGAAGGGCATTCCCTGGAATAGTGAATTCTTCTCTTTGTTCTCTTCCCAGCTGGGGTTTAACTACCAAGGTACATAGCCTATTACCCAACTCCCACCCTCAGCATCTCATGAAGAAGGAAAAACACTTGGCTTCTGTCTCCAGAAAGGAGTCTTAGGTTTTTTTTCCTGTTGTAACATGGCATGCCCTCCTAGTGCCCTTGTCCACAGCAAATGCAGGCGATAGCTCAGTGTTGCTCCAGGGGCTGTCTGGATTCTTCCTGAATTGACCCTTATCTGTTACCCTGCTCAGCCTTTCTGTTCTAGTTAAGTTCAGTTCAAGCAGCAAGAATTTATTTCTGTTTTGTCTTCAGCAGTATATTTAAGACATTTCAACGGATTATAATTTGTTCCTAACCTCCCAAAGTCCTTCCAGGAGGAGAATGACATATTGTATTAGTTTTCTATTGCTGTCATAACAAACGACCACAAATGTACTGGCTTAAATAACATCTATTTCTTGGTTCCTGATTCTGTAGGTCAGCAGTTTTGGCACAACAGGACTAGTTTGGTTCTCTGCTCAGAGTGTCACCAAGCGGAAATCAAAGAGCTGGCTTGACTAGTTTCTTGTCTGGATGCTCTGGGGAAAATCTTTTTTGAGGTCTTTGGCAGAATTCAGTTCTTTACAGTGGTAGGACTCAGGTCCCTGTCTCCTTGCTGTCAGTTTGTCACTGTCCACATTCCTTGCCGTGTGGCCGCCTCCGTCTTTGAAGTCAGCTGTGAAGAATCTCTTTTGTGTCTGATCCCTATCACTCCTCAAATGTCTCTGACTTCTCTTGTCTCTGACCTCTGAACCCAGATTTAAAGAGCTTATGTGATTAGGGCTGGCCCACCAGGATAGTCTCATTTGTTGAAACCAGCTAACTTGAGACGTTAATTATATTTGCAAAACCCCTTCATAGTGGTACATATGTTAATATTTGCTTAAAAACAGGGGAAAGATGTGTGTACACCAGAGGCTGGGAATCTTAAGGGGCATCTTAGATTTCTGCAGACCTGAAACATAGGTAAATCTTGTCATTTCTAACCATGTACCAAAGCTGATTATAGGTATTCTCTGGTATTGGTGCCTTAGTGGTGGGACACAGGAAGGTAAGGACTCAGTGTAGGTGATGGTCATCAGAGAAGGAGGTGGGGAAGAAGATGGACTTAAGGTGGCCTTTGAGGGGTGGTGGGTTTGGATGGGGAAGGCCTTCCAAAGTCGGGGCGGTGCACATATATCAGATTGCCCCAGGTTTCATCAGTGGGAAATGAGTGCTTTATATAAATCATTGTAGTTCTTGAGTTAAAAGGGACTTTACAGGTCTTTCAGTTTCTGAATTTCCCTACTTCAATAGTTCCAGCAATTTTATGGCTTACAAAAAAGCAGTACCTGTAAAACTTCCATGGGATGTGAAAATTTACAAAGGACATTTACATAGACATTAGAGTGCTTTTTGAAATTGATGAAAATAACTTGATGGATTCTTCAGGTGGGTTTTACTTTCCAGAATGTGCATGCTGTTACTAAAGTAAAACTGAGTGAATAGATGAAATTTAAAGGGCTTTCTGCTTGGAAGTCCTCAGGACTTGAAGGGCATATTTTTGATCTTAAAGTATTCTGAGCAAAGCATTTATAGAAGTCTCCTTTATGTCAGCCCTAGAAAATGATGTTAAATAGTGTAAGAGTACTAAAACAGTTTTGTTGTATTATTTCACCTCAGTGAATCTTTAGTTCAGCAAAATTCTTAGTGCTTATGTTTGCTAAATTGTACCAACTGTCACAGAATTACAACTCTTTGTTTAGATTTGTATTTTCAGTGTAACTAATGTAGTTACTGATTAATTATGTCATAATCTGGAAAGTGCCATCTCCCATCCATTCTGGTTGTGATACTCTGAAAATAATTAGTGTTAACTTGGATTGGAGAACAGATACACTGTGCTAAAGTAAAAGAAATTATGATAAATAATAATAACACTTACTGGGCATTTATTGTGTACCAGGTACTTACTGTTCTAAGAATTTTCTAGGTACTGTCTCATTTAATCCTCAAAACAACCCTCTGTGAATTGTTATTCTACAGATAAAAAGACGGGAGCATAGAGAGGTTAAGTAACTTTCCGTGGTCACACAGCTAACAAGTGGTAGAGTCAGTGTCGGAACCCAGGCGGAGTACCCAGCATCCACATTGTTTTTTCTTGACCGCCTCTCTTAATGTCAGTCTTGCCACTGTGTACCTTAGAACATGTGCTTAGATCGCTAATATAACCAAATCCAAGGTGCAGAGAAATACTTTGGGAAGGAATTTTATTAGATCAATATGGAGCATTTTAGACTTTCCAGGTGCCTATTCAAGTTAGTAAGTTCTACAGAGAAACCTAATTAACCTATAGACAGAGTGTTACAGAACAAGCTGATTTGGGATGGTTGAGCAGTTAGCACATCTAAATAAGTTGAGAGGCAGCAGTTTCTTCTTTAGAAAGGTCAATGCCAAGTGCAGATGAGGGTAGAATCTTCTGTAATTGGAGACAGCCAGAGGATACTGTGCTGATTTGATTTATTCATCTAATTCTTTTAAAAAAATCATCATAATGTTAGTTTTCTTTTTTCCATTTTTAAAGTGGACATAAAACATCAGCCAGTCTTCTTCCCCCAAAACCATTATAATTTGTGTTTTCTACATGTATCTCTGTGTGGAACACATGTTCACAGTTTTCCATAAATTCTGCTGGGTGTACATTGTGTACATTTGGTGTCCATTGTATGCCCTGCTTTTCATTTAGCATTTCCTGACCCTTCCTTTATATTGTTGATAGTCTTCTCAAGGAATTAGGTGCTCTTATTTAACTGACTTGATTAAACATTAGGCTGCGTCTCGCTTTTTTGCTGTTTCAAGTTACCCGACAGTAACCCTGAAGTTTTAGACTGAGTCAGGTGTTTGAATCTAGAATACTATTAGTTGGATGTAACTGGGCACTTGACACTTGAGTGATGAGACAGAGGGCATTTGTGTCACTTCTTTGTAATCACAGACAGAAGGCCCCAGTTATCCCTGAGTCTGAGTCAGCCCTGCAGGCTGTCGTCTGGAGACGCGAAGCCATTTATTTGGGCTCTTGGGCTGGGTCCGCTGAGGCCTCCGTGACTCCAGTCTCAGTTGGGGCAGGCACTTTGATGGCAGGCTGGGCTACTCCTCCTGGGACTTAATCAGCTCTTTTAGTGCTGCAAAGAGGGGACAGCCCTTAGGGCTGGGTGTCCCTACTTCTGATCTCTGGGCGTTCATGTCTTGGGGTGGGACAGTTTGGCTTGTGAAGTCTTAGTGTTAATAATGGTTTAGTAACATGGAAACTATACATGTTTTCAAATTTTACTTCTCTGCAGCCCAGCCTCACAGACTCGGTCCTCCCCTTGACTGAAGGTCTCTCTCTCTCTCCTGTCCATCACTAACAGACTCAGGGATCTAGCTTGGCTGAAGCCCGGGGAACGGGGCAGAACGGGGGCACAGTACCAAGCAGGGTGGGTTTAGAAGGGAAAGAAAAGCAGAAAACCCAGCTCTGGGCTCAGAGTCGGGTGTTCTTTTGCACCTGGTCGGAGAGAGAAGTGAGCCATCAGTGTTTCAGAGGCAGGATATGGCCCTGGAATGACATGGCCCAGTTCATGTCACAGTGGCATCCTTTCTCTGCCCCATCCTCAGCTTGACTCCTCAGTGGGGGTCTGGCCTGCTGACGAGGGAAGAGGTGAGGGTGGGTGAGCAAATGAACAAGAGGGCCAGTTCTGGGAGTCAGTGCTTGAGCATCTTCATTCCCTTCTTATACCCGAGTGGCCAATGCAGACATCCGACCCTCTCTTCCCACTGCCGCCCCTTCCTCTCAGCATGTGCACCTGTCCGCTGCGCATCCTCCCACTGGCAGAGCTCCCGGACCTCCCAACCCACATGGGCTGCCGAGGCACCTGCTTTCTTCAGTGGCATCTGCAGCCGCACCGCTGCCCAAGTCTTCCTCTTCTCTCCTGTTCCCTTATTCATTCTTACAGTCATGTTTATGTTCATCCATTCTCGTTTTATTCTATGGGCGACAATCCATTACTAGCGTTCTTCATTCGTTCATAAGTTTATTTATTTGTAGCAGCTTTTTTGAGATATAATTCACATACCATAAAACTCATTCTTTTAGAGTGTACAGTTCAGTGGTTTATAGTATATTTACCGAGTTGCACAGCCATCACTACTGTCTCACTTCAGAATATTTCCATGACCCCCACCTGCAACCCCTCCCCATTAGCAGTCACTCCTCATTCCCCTGTCCTGCCAGCTCCTGACAACCACTGACCCACCTTCTATCTGTGCATTTGATTTCTCTAGGTACCTCAGATAAACGGAATCATACAATTTGTGGCTTTTTGTGTTTGGCTTCTTTCAGTTAGCATAATATATTCAGGGTGTATCCATGTTGAAGCTTGTATCAGTACATCACTCATTCTTACAATTGAATAATATTACATTGTGTGGATAAACCACATTTTGTTTATGTATATTTATTAGGTGATGGACATCTAGGTTGTTTGTACTTTTTGGTGATTATGAATAATGCTTCTATGAATATTTGTGTATGAGTTTTCGCATAGACATGTTTTCCGTTCTCTTGGGTATATACCTAGGAGTTGAATTAGTGGGTCATATGATAGTTCTATGTTTAACACTTTGAGGACCCACCAGGCTGTTTTTCATAGTGACTGTACCCATTTACATCCTCACAAGCAACGTATGAAGGTTCTAGTTTCTCCACATCCTCACCGACACATGTTATTATGTCTTTGATTATAGCCATCCTAGTGGGTGTGAAGTGACATCTCATTGTGGTTTTGATTTGTATTTTCCTAATGACTAATGATGTTGAGCAAATTGCCCACATTTGGCTAGTGGGGACCTCTTCAAACCAACTCCTGTGTCCTTTAACTTACCCCCATCATCTTTCGAGTGCTGTTGTGGTCTGAATTGTGTTTCTTTAGGATTCAAAAGTCAAAGTCCTAACCCCTAATATGCCTCAGAATGTTAATATATTTGGAAATAGGGCCATTAAAGAGGTAATTAAGGTTAAATGAGGTCATAAGGATGGAGTCCTAATCCAATATGACTGGTGTCCTTATAAAGAGAGAGAGAGACACTGGGGTGGAGTTGGGGGTGTACAGAGGAGAGGCCATGCGAGGACACAACGAAAAGACGGCCATCCACAAGCCAAGGAGATAGGTCTCAGGAAAAGCTAACCTGGCTGCCACCTTGATCTTGAACCTGTGTACCTGCTCTAAGTGCTATAACCATGAAGGGAAAATCTCAAGGCAATTTAAAAGTTAGTTACGTACAAACTGCTAAATCTAATCTTTGTTGTAAACTTAAAACTGACAGGGACTAATCCTGATGGAAATTTTAGTGAAGCATAAATAAAAATGGAAAACTTGGAAACTCTTTGTGCTGTACAGAAAATGACTCCATGGATTTTGCACCAGAAAATACAAAATACAGCAGGGAGGCGGAGGAGGCCGAAAGACCAGAATTTTTTCCTCATCCCCAGGGCAGTGGGAAGCACTAGCCAGCTGTAAATAGGAGTGACATCAAGCTTACATTTAAAAGCGTGTCACTGACTGTGCTGTGGAGAGCGGAGCGGGCTAGGTGTGTCCCACAGAGGCATCCCCTGAGCCTCAGAGCTGAGGAGGAGCCGAGGGAAGGCCAAGGACTGTGGGAGGGAAGGGGGAAAGGAGGGGAGAGAGGGAACTGTGGCTACAGATGCTGGGAAAAGGATGAGAGATTGGAGCATCTTAGTTCTTAGAGAGTTGACATCTGAGCTAGGCCTTGGAGGGGGGAAAAGTAAGGAAAGACTGTGACTGGGGGCAGCATGAAGGGAGGGTTAGTCCAGACAGAAGAGGGGTCGTGGGCAGAGGAGAGGGAGAGCACAGGCCCTCGGGAGAGACCCTGGAGAGGAGTCTGCGAAGGTGTGTGAGAAGAAGCTGCTCAGAGAACTGCTGCAGCAGAGCGAGTGGTCCTGTCCCCCTGCCTCTCTTCCCCCAACACGGATGCCGTTCTTGGGGGTGGAATATATATTTATGTATATATGTATATATGTGTGTGTGTATATATATATATACACATACATACAACCAGAATTCTCGTGCGCTGCTCCTGCTGCTGGTGCATTTACCTAGAGGAAGTGAAGACACACATCCACACAAAGGCTTGTGAAGAGTATTCACAGCAGCTTTATTGCAATCTGGGAAGATTGGAAATTGCGTTACAGATCAGAAGTGATTTCTTACTTTGGCTTGTTTTTCCTTCTTGATTCTTAGCTTAAAAGGTTTTTTGTTGTAAAGCACGTTAGCCTGCTGGTCGGGACACTCTGTGGCCACAGCCAGTTGACTGTGGCCCTCCCTCCCCATCTCCCTCTGTTCTCCTTCCTCAGTAACGCCCCATCCTGGGGTGCCCTCATGCACCCCAGCTCGAGCCTGGGTCCTCCAGCTAATGGGCCCCTTAGAGTGGCTGGACCTTTTCTGTCTTAATGACACAGTGTGGTAAGAGCAGCAGGAGTAGGGGCCGTGTGGTGTCACGGAGATGGTGGGGGCTTTGGAACTGGAGCCACCTGGGTTTGAATCCAGAGCCAGTCACTGTGTGGCCTTGAACCCGTCCATCAGAGCCTCAGTTTTATCCTCTGTACACTGGGGATAATAGCACCTACCTTGCAGTGGTCCATGGGGGTGCCGGGGAGCTTGGTGGCTGGGGTCCTGGCCGTCTCTGCTGCAGCTTCTGCGCAGCAGGGGCTGCTCCCAGTCTGGTAGGCTCTCCTCCGGCGCAGGCTGTCTGCTGGAGCTCTGGATGCACCGTCTTCCCTCATTTGTCCTGTGGCATCGTCTTGTGTCCTGTGAGGAGCTGAGTTAGGAAGCTCAGCTACAGGAAACTGACCTCATACTTACTGTGTTTTAAGGGTATCAGCATGGAAGCCATGAGTGAGAATAAAATGGTGCCCTCGGATTTTAGCACAGGACCTATGGAAAAAGCTGCCAGACCTTTGCCATTTAAGGATCCCAACTTTGTGGTAAGCATCGAAGGTGTTTTATAAATTAAAAAAAAAACGGACATCCATACCTTGGCCTCTGATCTTGCTGGGCCTGCAGCCCAGGTGGCACAGGTGTGCCTTTCTCCATCAGTCCAAGCTACCACCTTCTCTGCCATGGGCTGCGTGGGAGGGACGGGGGCAAGAGAACGAGGGCCCTTCCTGTCCATCTCCCAGTGTGTCGGTTCCCAAGGATTTTGGTGTCCTTTGTGGAATTCATTAAAGAATACTATGTTGAGGGTAGGTCATTTCCACAATGATTGTTCAAGTTGCTTTTTCATTGGTCTTGCATAAGATTTAGATAAGGCTTGAAATAATGACCTAAAAGGGGAGTGCTGCTCAGTAATTTCTTTAGGTAAATCGAAGCCACTGGGCTGTAAAGTAGAAATAGGCAGCTCTTCCTTTTGTTCTAGAGGCGTAGGATAAATTACGTGATTCAGATTACACCATTAAAGTTTGTTTTTCATTAATTAGCTTTGAAAATGCAGTGTTTACAGTGCCTGCAACAGATTTTTAGTATTCTTTCCATTTTGTTTTGTCATCATCATAAGACAAAAAAGAAAAAAAGTTCCAGAAGGCTTGCTGTGCCATGATTGTGGCTTACGTGGGTTTTCCTGGAGCACCAGTAATTCACAAGGCAGAGATGTCCTCGGAAGGGAGTTTAAAGATGTGGTCATGGGTTTAAATCTAACTTTGTGGTAAATTTATTTTAAAGTAATGGGAAATCATGAGTGAATTCCATAAAGTTAGACCCAATAAAGGATGTGATTCTCTATGTGCATATAAAAAAATAACCTTTTATTTCTACTCCATCAGCAACTAACTCATGCATTTTGACAATCCAAAAGCTGTGTTTTTTATAAGTAAGATTAAAGTATATGGTGTCATAGTTTTTTAAAAAGCCTTAGGGTACAGTGATTGCTAATTGAATGAGGAGTTTATTACGGTTATGAATAAGCATAAATGTCAGATTTTGAAATGATCATCTCTGTTGACTTTTGTTTCTTCTAATCCACGTTTTCCATTCGAGCACTCTGGCCATGGTGGTGCAGTTGCTGGCAAGAAGAATAGAACCTGGAAGAACCTGAAGCAGATTCTGGCTTCGGAAAGGGCATTGCCATGGCAACTGAACGATCCTAACTGTGAGCTGTCCAGAGCCTTCTGTGTGTTTATAATGTTCAGACTAGGAACTTTCTTATAACAAACCCGCATTATTTTATTGTGTTTGCATTTGTGTAGGAAACAGTTTTTAGCTTAGGAACTTTACAGTGGCTTCAATACAGGGAGAGTATCTGTGTACTTCCTCATAGCTATATCTGTGTCGAATTCGTTTGTTTGTGTTGTCGTGGATGTGTGGTTTTTAGTGTCACTGTTTACATTTCAATCTGGAGAAGCAGGTCCTGATACGATAATACTGGTGTTTCTGTCAGACCAACTTCTTATTCAGAAGTCTACTCTTAAAATTTGTTTCCAAGAAGGTTGCCCAAGATTTAGGAGAGTTTCTAACAACCATCTGAGAGGCCAACTCTGTTTTACTCTCTGAGCCGATGTTTTTCCGAGTA